GATCACACTAATATTCTCTCGTGGGTTCACCTCAGTTTGAGACAAAAATTTTCCTTGCAATTCCAAGCATCCCATGGTCTGAGTCATTTGACCTATTTGTTTATCTATCTCTTGAAAATTAGCTTCAGTACAATTCTGAAACTTCTCATAGAACAGAGTTAACCACTATACAATTGATTCCAATGATGGTTTCGATGGTCGATACTATTGTGGTAGAGGTGGTCTCGGTTGATAAATTTGATTAGGCCTCGAGTTTTATGCATAGCTAAAATTTGGATGATCTCTCTACCGTGGGTTCTAAGTATTTACGGGAGGGTTATAAGGCCTTTAGAAGGTCCAAGAAAATAGCCCACTGCATTTACTTGTGCAGCAACCTCTTCCTGTAACATCAGGCATCAATATGTTGGATGATCTGTCATTGTGCATATTTCGTATAACCTCACTCTCTGATTTTTCTTGAACCAAGAGAATTAACTACATTAGTTAATTTATTGATTTTGTTTTCTAGAGAAACAATACTTATCTCGTGAACCCGTCGGTTGGGTATACTTGAAGAGCCTAACTGTTGAGAGTTGGCAACCATTGTAGAAATTAATTCTCTTGCCACATTCGGGGTCATGTTGACAACAGCTCATTCGAACCTATCAAGAAAAATACGAGTTATGTCATTCCATGTATGAACAGAGTTGGGTGGTAAATAAAATAATCATTCCTTAGTGAACCGACTAAGAAGAAAGGAAAATCTCTCAATTTAATTTGATCCTTGGATACTCCATGTGATTTCATGCTTGAGCAAAACATGTGGAATTCTATGATATGCTTATATGGAAGTCCGTGAAAAATAGGAAGAAGGTGGATAAGTCTTTTTTTAGTTGAAACGAAGTTTCGCTGCTTCATCTATTTTGGTGCTTCTGGCGTTAAATAGGTGTCTGCATTAGATGGTACTTCAAGATTTTGTTATGGATCTGTTTGTTATCGCTATTCTTACTATTGCCATTGTCTTTTTTTCTCAAAGTGTTTGTGCGTGGATTCTTCGAGTTCGAACTTTGATCTCTAGATCAAAATCTTCTAGTTCGCCTGGTCATAAGTAAAAAACACACTTAATCAGTAACTTTTACGAAATACCCTGATAACGATGCCAATTTGACAAGCGTCATATTTTGTCAAATAATTATCCTTAATCTCAAAAAGAAATAATTGAATAGCGTAGTATAGAGAAGAAGGGTGGATCCACAGGGACTTTGAAAATTTTGATGTATAAGGCTTTTGATTATGATTTGGGTGAAAAAAGGGTAGATATGGTGGGTGTTTGATTGAAAGTAAATAAGAATGAAAAACTAAACCTAAGAATTTAAAAGAAAGTAAAATTAAGAAGAAATTCAATTCAAGTAAAACAACCTCAGGCCTCGCTTTGCCTCCATTCCAACTAATATAAGTTTACAGAAAATTGAGAATTTAACCCAAATGTATTAGGTGTTTTTCAATTCTCACTATTGGAATTGAGTCATCGATTCAGTCTTTGGCTTATGGAAAAATTAGCTAAGTAAGATAAAAATCATACTTAGCATTTTTTAAAGAAAGTAATAAAATCTTAAAAGTAAAAACGGAAGAAAAGAAAATAATAAAAAATTTATAAAATAAGAAAGCAAAGAAAAAAGCTAATTTAAGAGATGTTTTTCAAGCTTTACCCTGTGAGGATATTTATAGCTTTCTAAAATCCTAGAAATGAAGCAAAAATAACTAAAGATAAACCTTAAAAATATTCAAATAAAATCATAAAACAAGTAATAATTCCAAATTCAAATTTAAACTGAATCTAAGCCATCCGCCTGTCCTTCTAGAACGTTGATTGGACCTTCTAGAAGCTGCTACGTCACACATCATCATGCCCACTAATCCAACCTTGACTTCAGAAAATAAAAAAACTGCAGAACTTCGCTTTTTAATATTGTTTCTGAAAATTAATGTCCAGCATAGAAAACAAATTAAAATACTCAAAACTAACAACGTAAATTTGATAACAATGAGTAATTAACAATAAAATAGTAACAAAATAAATCACTCATGAGTTCCATAAAATATTTTTAATAAGATTTTAAAGTGACAAATATTTTATAGAAAACATACAATGAAAAGTGTTATTAACAACTAAGTGGACGACCATCCACCTTTAATCTCCATAGTCTCTTGATTTTTCACCTCCCTTTAACACCCTTTACTTGTTTGATTTTAGCCTTGTATATAGTGGCTATGTACAAACTTTATAATAACACAAATAATAACACAAATAATAGAAAGTTATCCTCTATCAAATTGTGTTTCGTCTCTCGTATTCTTACTTCTATGTTCCATTATTTCTTAATAAAAATATATAATCAAAGGCAAACACTTATTTCTTATATAAGGGATTAATATTTAAAAAATAGAGTATAGGATTAAGGGTTTTAGAATTTAGAATTTAAAATTTTAGACTTTAGAATTAAAATATACATAATTACCTAAGATTTAATTTATAGAATCTATGTATAAAATAATTGATGTAAGGCTCTTATGATGCCTTAACAAATTGATTGTGTATCTATGAAGGAAGCAAAACAACCTGCACAAGTGAATGGCTCAAAGAGATGGCTAAGGTGGTAAATGTATGGGTGAAATAGGTGGGATGTTTAAAATGAGAGATGGAAGCGGAAGATGGTTGATATGGCTATGGTTATGGTTTATGAAACAAAGGGATGGTTGTGAGGATAGTATCTTAAAGAAGACTCAAAGAAGAACCAATGCTATATAGCGCAAAGACCCAGACTTTATATTGCTTCTTCAAGGGGTGGTGTTAAGTACTTTGACCCACTAGTTATATGAACTAGGAACCAGAAGTATCAAGGTGAAAAGAAAGGGGTTGATGCCACAAGTATAAATTATACTTGATAAGTCGATAAAAGTCACCAGGACTTAAGGAAGAGAATAATCTCACTTTAATTAAACAAAATATCTGATTACAAATGAAATAGGAAAGCCTATTTATAGTTTTTGAAGGGACTTGGCCGAATAGATACATGTTGGTTCGGCCAGCCCTTGTACCTTCCTAAAATGACATGATTTTTAATGAAAAAACAAGACTTTAATGAAAATACATGCTCTTGGCCGAATGGTTATGTGTTGGTTCGGCCCTAAGGATGATTTGAATGCATTTGGAAGTTATTTGGGCGCCAAAATGAAGAGGATAAAGTCTTTGGCCGAATAGGAAGCATCCCTTGGTGTTTTGGCGCCAATTTGATGTCACATGGAGTGCACATGCTTGAATGATGCACATGGTAGCCTACATGAATGCACATGGGTCTTCTTGCTATGCTTTGATGAGGTTGCAACCATAGGATGATGTCTTGAAGTCCATGGAATGAAGATAGGCAACAACTAGGTGTGAATTAACTTCCAACGTGTATCTAGATGACATGGCATCCATTGGGCAGCCTAGAGATGAACTAGCTTCAAGGTAAGCTAGATGAGTGTCTTGGTAGCTAACTAGGTGAGTTATAGCTTGATAAACTCTAGCTAGTTAGCTTTGGTCTTCTCAGCTCCTCAGCTACTCTCCCAGCTACTTCCAGCTACCCTTTAGTCCACTTTTCAGCACTTTGGTCCAAAACTCTCCTCCAGCTAAGTTCAGCTACATGCTAGCTCCTCCAGCTAAGTTGAGCTTTCCTTAGTGTTCCACGAGCTTCCATATTCCATGTAAGCTATTTTTAAGCTGCATTTGATGTCCAAATAATCCACCAAGCTACCCCAACGTGTGCCATGATCCAATGTACCTACATGTGCAAGAAAACAAGGTAAGTCCATGGCATTGAGCTGATATGAGCTAAATACCTTGCTGCCATGTATGATTATGGTGATGTGAGCTATGTTTGAAGGTCATGTGTTAATTATATCATCTCAAAATATGTGTAAGATAATGCATGAAGCTTAAGAGCTAATATGAATGCATATGAACTAATGAAATGGTTTATAATGATGTTGCCTTGATGTATATATGATAATCATGCTTAATATGATTATAAGACTATCCTAGCATGCTTATAACATTGTGTATCAATCATAAAGATATGGGTATATGTTGTATGCATGAATATCATATAACATGGTATTCATAAATGATAAATGGAAACATGTAATAATAATATCCTAAGAAATGATATGTAATCATAGCATATATTTGAATAATATGAAAAACATGATCAAATAAGCATAGGATGGAAATAATAATATGATAATTTATACTAACATGTGAATGCATGCTTATGATAGAATAGAATGTATAAATGATATAGTATAAGATAGGGTAATGAAGAACTCCCTTAGAAACAGCTTTGAAGAACATCCATGGTGTGTTCAAGTCATGGAGAAAGTTGGAGCTAGTTTGGATTGTATCAATAATACTCTATATATGGTATGTGTATGGTTGTGTGTACTGGAAAAAAATTAAGAAACTATGTATATGGATTGATACATTCTTAATTTACAATAAAATTGAATATACTATTTCTATATACATCACTACATGGATTCAGATTCTTATTTTTGAACAAATCTGTATCCACCAGCTAAACACAAACCAATACACTACGTTTATATACACAAACCTATACACTATACACAAAGCAATACACTATGTCTATATACACAAACCTATACACTATACACAAAGCAATACAGTATGTCTGTATACACAAACCAATACACTATGTTTATATACACAAACCAATACACTGTTTATATACACAAACCAACCCTAACCAATACACTATGTTCATATACCCAAACCAACCCAAACCAGTACACTATGCTTACATACATAAACCAAATGCAATAGGTTTATACACGCAAACCAACATAAATAGCAATATGAAGAGTGATCAATTCATAGATAAATGGCTGACGGTGACACCATTTTCTTTCACTTGATCGGCAGCCATAGCCACCCCATTGTCTTTCACTTGTTTAACGTATTGTTCTTTCTACGCCATGGAACGAGCTTCATCCTCTGCCTTCATCTTGGCATCTTTAAGAGCTTGGATTAATCTCTTCAAACAAGTTTCCATTACGTCATAGTCCGATTTCGGCATCAAATTCTCCGCTACATCAGCTGGAGTCATTTTGGTTTCCCTCAAACAGTGTTTCGATTTCATCAAACAATGAATGAGAATCAATCTCCAAATAGTTGTTTGCTAAAACCTTGAATGCATCGAAGCAGCAGTAAGAGAGTTCAATGTGTTTATCCATTCTTCCTCTCCTTATCAATGCAGGATCAAGCTTCTCCACATGGTTCGTTGTAAAAATAATGATTCTTTCACCCCCACAGGATGACCAAAGTCCATCGATACAATTCAAAAGCCCCGATAATGTTACCTTGCTTTCCTTCTTCTCATATTCTTTTACCGTTTTCGTGATTGGATCCAAACCGTCGTCATCTTTTCGGTCTTTCTTTGTCTTCTTCTCCCTTTGGCCTGTGAGATCGAGGGAGCAATTGATATCCTCGATCACCACAACCGACTTGTTTGATGTATCGAGCAAAAGCCTTCTCAACTCCGCGTTTTCCTTCACCGCGGTGAGTTCGAGATCGTAAACATCATAGTCCAATAGGTTCACCATCGTCGCAATCATCGAAGATTTCCCGGTCCCGGGAGGACCATAAAGAAGATATCCACGTTTCCAAGCCTTGCCGATTCGAACATAATAATCCTTCGCAGCACTAAACTTGATCAAATCGTTCTTGATTTCCTCTTTCAAGTTGGCATCCATTTCCAAGGTATCAAACGTTGCAGGATGTTCAAACGGTACACTGCTCCACTTGCTCCTTCGATATCCATGCCAGTCCTGGCTCGGATTGTTTGAATAAAGCTTCCGTTGCCGGTTTTTCGTGGCTATTTCCTTGCCTTCCTTCAACACGTGGCTAATATATGATTGTGTGATTAACTCCCTATGGCGTCTATGGACTGTAAGCTTGTAAGATCTTTTTTCATCGTCATCGGGATACCATGATATCCGTTGTGAGTTTGGAAGAGTTCTTTCTGCAGACCACCAAACTTTAATCCCTTGGAACTCATCCCTAACTTCTTCATTATAATCCATGGTAAGGACTACGGATTGGCAATCTTTCTCAACATTGGCCTTGAGACGCTTCGCCGATGCCGATGACTTGTCGCTTAGATAAGTTTTGATCTTCAAATACGCTTCACTGCGCTTGAAACGCTCCCCACTGAACTCATCGAAGGTGACTTCTACATAAGGGTATATAAAACTGACGCTTTTTCTGAAAAACTTTTCCAAATAGAGCTGAAGATGATGAGGGAAGAACTTTTTAAAGAGGGTATAAACAAGCATTAAAGTACCCATTCTGGACCCAAAATTCCACATTTTGTAAGGAAAATAAACCGAGTACAAGTAATTTCCCTATAACCAGATTAGTGAGAATGCGAATTAAAAACGGAAAAATAATACCCGAAAATTGATAACGGAGTTCAGCCAATTGTGCTTACGTCTCCGGGCTGCTGCAGATCTTTTACTAAGAGAGCAAATTTACAGGTGTTTACAAAACACTCACTACTCACAAGAAAGCTCTCTAGTATAGGAAGAAAGAAATGTTTTGGGATGATTTTGAAGCTAAATGGGTAAGGGTATTTATAGTAGAAACTTAGGGACTAATCTTTGAAAATACCCTAAAGTGCAATGACTAAAGTGAATTTACCCATTCCTATTTTCAACAAACATCTACCAAAATTTTACCAAACTTTGAAAAACATTTTTCAAAGAAACATTTACCAAACTTTGAAAAAAAAACATTTTCCAAAATTGGTTGCCAAACTTTGAAACTTTTAACAATCTCCCACTTGAAGACTGATTTTAATATGTCTTCACACCTCGATCAATGCAGCAGCATGTCTGGTCTTGTTATTCTAGCATGCCAACTGAAGCTGAACACAACTTCAGTTTGTACGTAGTCACCGTCTTTGTCAACATGTCTGCCGGATTTTGAGCTCCACTAATCTTTTCAAGTTTCAAAATCCCATCTTCCAGAAGAGACCGGATAAAATGATATCTCATTGTATGTGCTTTGTCCTGGAATGAAAGACGGATTCTTTGCTAGATGGATAGCACTTTGACTGTCGCAATACAAGATATTGTTTTCTTGTTTCTTGCCTAACTCTTCCAAGAAACTTTGGAGCCAAACCATCTCCTTGTTGGCTTCCGTAACAGCGACATATTCTGCTTCAGTTGTGGAGAGCAACTATCTCCTGTAGTTGAGAAACCCAACTCACTGCAGTTCCTCCTATATAGACATACCCTGTAGTGCTCCTTCTGATGTCGACATTTCCGGCTAAGTCAAATCTACATAGCCTTCAATATCATATCTCCACCTTGAACCAAAGTACTTTGTTTGTGGTACCCCGAAGATATCTGAGGATCCATTTGACTGCTTCCCCAAATGTACCTTGCCCGGATTATTCATGTACCTGCTAACAGCTCCCACTGCATGAGTAATATCTGGTCTGGTACAAACCATGGCATACATCAGACTTCCAATTGCTGAGGCATACGGCACCTTCACCATGTGTGCACGTTCTTCCTCCATCTTTGGTGATTGGTCTTTGGAGAGTCTGAAATGAACACCTAAAGGTGTACTTACCTGGTTTAGCATCTTGCATGTTGAACCTGGAGAGTACTTTGTTGATGTACTCAGCCTGTGATAACATCAAAGTCCCTGACTTTGTGTCTCTCTTGATCCTCATCCCAAGAATCTGCTTTGCAGCGTCCAGATCCTTCATAGCAAACTGCTTCGACAATTTTTGCTTCAAGTGTATAATCTCTTGCATGTCTGAGCCTACAACGAGCATGTCATCAACGTACAATAATAAAATAATGAAGCTGTTGTCGAACCTCTTGATGTAGCAACAATGATCTGCTTGGCATATGATAAAACCACTGCTACTCATGAAGCTATCGAACTTCTTGTACCACTGTCTAGGAGCTTCTTTTAAACCATAAAAGCTCTTCTTCAACCTGCATACCAGGTTTTTCTTGTCTGCCTCTATGAAGCCTTCTGGCTGCCTCATATAGATTTCTTCCTCCAAATCACCATGAAGGAAAGCTGTCTTTTACATCACCAAATCGTCGGTGGATGACATTATTCCAACGTGATGAGGACGTTTGGCCATCTTTAGGGATAAATTGAGATAACACGATTCCTACGCGATGAGGAAGTCTGGCAATCTAAGGAGGATGGCGCGGCTCCTACGTGATGATGAGATCTGGTCGGTGGATGACACAGTTTCTACGTTATGAGGACGTCTAGTCATCTTTAGGGATAAATGGAGATAACACGGTTCCTACGTCATGAGGAAGTCTGGCTATCTACGGGTGACAGGACTCCTACATGATGAGGAGATCTGGTCGGTAGATGACATGGTTCCTACGTGATGAGGATGTTTGGCCATCTTTAGGGATAAATAGAGATAACATGGTTCCTACGTGATGAGGAAGTCTAGCTATCTAAGGATGACTCGGCTCCTACGTGATGAGGAAATCTGGTCGGTGGATGACATGGTTCCTACGTGATGAGGATGACTGACCATCTCTAGGGATAATTTGTTTCAAGAGAAACTGTCTCAAGAGAGACAAAATGTTTTTCAAGGGAAACAATCTCAAAGGTTATGTTTCAAGAGAAACTGTCTCAAGAGAGAAAATTTGTTTCAAGGGAAACAATCTTAAAGGTTTTATCAATTTTGTTTTTAGTGAAACTTCAGAATTTGCGTTTTAAAGAAAAACTATCTCAAGTGAGACGAAATTTTTTTGAGAACAATCTCAACTGAGATTAATTTTGTTTCAAGTAAAACGAATTCGAAATTTGCATCTCAAAGGAAAAATGTCTCAAGCGAGACAAAATTTATTTTGAGAGAAATTGTCTCAAGCGAGACAAAATTTGTTTCTAGAGAAATAATCTCAAGTGAGATCAATTTAGTTTCAGGTGGAACGAATTCGAAATTTGCATCTCAAAGGAAAAATGTTTCAACTGAGACGAAATTTGTTTTGAGAGAAATTGTCTCAAGCGAGACAAAATTTGTTTTTAGAGAAATAATCTCAAGTGATATCAATTTTGTTTCAGGTGAAAAGAATTAGAAATTTGCATCTCAAAAGAAAAATGTCTCAAGTAATACAAAATTTGTTTTGAGAGAAATTATCTCAAACGAGACAAAATTTGTTTTTAGAGAAAAATGTTTCAAGCGAGACAAAATTTATTTATAAGAAAAACTGTCTCTAGCGATACGACACTTTGTTTCAAAAGAAACAATCTCAAAGGCGACAGACAGTCTACTTGTTCCTGCATAATGCCTTCAAAAGATCTGATTGTTCACTTTAGGCTGTTTGAATCTGTAGATGACATTGTTTCTTCATGTTAAAGACATATGGTCATTTCTGAACTTTATTTCCTGAAAGATCAATAAATGATGCTTTTATGAATGATTATCTTGGATGTTATGATGGATGCCAAGATGAAGTTTATTTTATGTGTTTGATTTGATGAATTTTTGAATTTGTCCTCATGAGAGGGGAAAATGTCTTTATTTCACATGATGATGAATGTATGATGCAAAGATGCAAACTCATGTAACATGTATGTATATGTTGATGTATGTTTTCTCGATCTGGAATGGGAATGGTTGCGTTGGTAGTCTTCATTCTTTGTTTGCACCAGCGTGCATCCTGGCGAATCTAGACTAGTGACAATTTCTTCCTGCACCAGCAAATTTTTCCCCTGATAAAAAAATTGGATTTCTCTGTCTGAACTTGTTTAGAAATCCAACAAATCTTCCCTCCTGATGCCATCATCATCCCTGTCAGATGGTTTGAAAAGAGAATACATCATTTCAAGCTTCGGATATTGTGTATGCACAGCTGCTCTGTAGCGAGAAATAAAATACCACTGCTTGGAGTTAACCACCACAGTAATTGATGGAGTATCAGACTGCCCCAAAAAACCATGAGACATATCAATGCCAAGGATGATAGTTGGACCCTTAGAAACAACTGAAATTGAAGGTGTTTTCTCAATTGTTAACATCGAATTCATTCATCCAAGCTTTGTATTGATTTTAAAAGCAAATTCTTAAGGTGTTGATCATTGACTCTAGTTGGAGCCATACACAGTGTGACTATGCCAAACTCCTTCAAATTTTTGTAAACTTCTTATTCGATCCGATTATTCGAATATTTTATCGAACTTTATAACTTAATAGACTTTTATACAAATCTCGAATAAAAAATCTAAAACCCACGAAAAGTTATTCTTGGGGTGAACTATTCATTTAAGGGCCCAAAATATAAAACTTTTAAAAATTACACTTTGGTCCCTAAACTTTTACAAATTTATACTTTGGTCACTAAACATTCAAAATTTATATTTTAGTCACTAGCAAAATTTTTGGGATATTACAAAAAAGCAACTTGCTTTTGCTCAAATATAGAAGGATAAATAAATGGAGATAGAACAAAATACATCTCACAAAAAAATCATTCATGATCTACAAAATGATGTAGATATTGATGTTTAACAAATTCTCTAACAGCTATACCTGATCACGTAGGATGATCCAAGTATTCTAATTGTACACTAAATTCTAAAGTGAATTAGACAAGTCAAACCCTAATCATACATACTAAACAAGAATAATTTAAATTTAAACAAGCATCATGCATTTTCACATCAACATAATCAAACAATCAACCTACTTTTATTTAACAAGTTGATGAGATGCTTAGCCTATAAACAAATATTAAAATCAACTTCGTGAATATAAATATAGGGGCAGGATCCTCTTACACAATGTAAAACTCTTTAGTTTTACACAAATTTAAGGCTGTTGAATGAGTAAAAATAGATAGTTGATATTGACTTTTTTTCCAGTAAATATCTTTACATTTCACGTAAGGTGGGTATTTGATACAATACTACCTGTGGAATATTTATTTTCTTAAACATTGTTTAAATATTGTTATTCCTAAGCCTTAAAAGCTAAATCTTAAATCATAATCAATGAAATATAAATCCTAAACTCTGACCCCTTAATAAAAAATATCTTTACATTTCACGTAAGTGGGTATTTGATACAATACTACCTGTGGAATATTTATTTTCTTAAACATTGTTTAAATATTGTTATTCCTAAGCCTTAAAAGCTAAATCTTAAATCATAATCAATGAAATATAAATCCTAAACTCTGACCCCTTAATAAACCATGTCAATCCATTCAATCCTGCTTGTGGAGTTTCTCGACTCCAATGTTTGGGAATGTTTTTCTAAACGAGTTTTTCCAACGTAAAAGCATCATTTTTTCAGTTTTTTTGTTTGAATCAATAA